TTCCAGAGAACTTGTCCAAACATGAGTATTGTCTATAAAATTGTAGTAACTGCATTCAAGGTTTACTTTGAAGGAAATACAAGGAAAGTGACCCATTTGCAAGAATATAGGCATAATAAGAGTAAATGGGATTATCCATGTTTTAAATGCCGTTTAATCACAGTTCAAATGAATTCCCATATACTAGAAGAAAATGGAAATGTACTCCGGATAAAGCATGCCTTGCAATATGTAAATGAATTATTGTGAATTATTCCTGGACAATTCAATTCAATAGAGAAATCAAAGCAGATATATTTATTAACACTATCTTTAAGTGAATAATGTCTCATTCACCTAAAAGGCCCAAAGAGTAAACACAAAACTCCAGTTTATGGGCTATAACGATGTGCAAATGAATTTCCAAATTAGAATAAGGCTGTAGAATGAAAATATACATTTAATATCAACTATGGTGTATGTATATGAGGTATGTGGGCTAAAAAGCTATTTACAAAAGCCAGGAATCTGCCTAAATAACAGGAATCAGCCATTTGCAATATGTTATAGAATTTGAGATCAACAATATGAGGGGATTCCAAAGCCATGTTAATTATACTATTCCATTTCCCCTAAAATAGGGCCTTAGGAAGAGGTACAAATGTAATGGTAGCTGTCACAGCCATTCCACATAAAAAAGAAGTGGGATTTGATCATATGGTTGTGGCCGTAACCTTGACTTTTTTGACACCACCTGCAGACATCCTTGAATGTGGATTTGGCTGTGATCACCACTTGTGAAATGAAGGTACTATTTGCTGCAGGCATAAAGGTTGTTTTGAAATACAAAAAAGTTTCAAGCAAATCTTTATACCTGGTGTACATTTTATTTTTGTTGTATGTTTTAACACTTATTAAAATTCTTTTAATCATTTAATCCGTCTTTTGCGATAACTCCAAAACGAACGGGAGAAGTCAACCTGTACGTCAAAAGTAATTTGACACTCACAACCAAAAGCTGTGAAAGCCCAGCTGTCTCTTTAATATGCAGACATTCCTCCCTATCATTTTTTTTTTTTTTTGGCAAATCATGCAGTCATTCTTGACTGATACATCACATAAAAAGTCTGTTCCCTTTAAAACCTGGAAATCAGGAAAACAAAAATCCTTTCATGGTACAATTAAAATGAAACTGATTCAGATAATCTTCACAATGGAAATAAAAATGGAAAAGCTTCTTGTACATTTATTCATCTTTTGTATGTCTGGACTGAGGATGGCAAATTTCAAGATGTTTAGAAAAAGAGTAGCCATGAAATAAAATAATAAGATCATTTCTATGCATGAATATGATCCACCAGCTTTCTTAAAATAATCCCCAATGAATTGAATGTGAAACACTGTTGCACAACTTCCATTAAATATAAACACTGAGAACAAATTTCAGACAGACGGGCATCCTAATCATCATTAAGACACAGCTTTCCACGAAACTGATTTGCAGTGTTACATTGTTTTGGCAAACTTACAAATCTTCTTAAGTTTACTTTGGATAACTTAGGAGGCACTAATATCTGGGCTCAAAATCTGTTAAGGCATATACCAAAACCAAACCCGTAACTATCCTCACCCTAATCTTGAGATAATAAATCTTAAATGGGATGAGGAATACCACTTTAAAAATCTGTGTTGCATTTTGATCTCTGGCATAAAGCAATGTAGTGATGACAATTCAAAGTTGTCTCAGCAGTCAAAGTTCTCCTTCAAATTCCCACAAAAAATGTAATTTACCTATACTATAGCTACATATGTCATGTTTAAATTCTTTATTATGGAAATTATATAGAAAAATACAGAGGTGTGAAGGGGGTCAAGATGATGGCCTCACTTCATAGTTTTTGATTTCCCCCTCTTCTGGTGCTTCTAAAATTCTTCAAAGGATCCATAATAAAGAACAATTCCACATCCTACAGCATATTTAACCTCTTCTGTTCTTTCTTTCCTTCAACCCATTTATAAAAATAGAAGAAAAAAATCCACTTAAAGTGGAAAGGTTTGTTTATTTCCTTTTAAAGAGAAGAGATATTGTCAAGACAAAAATGTAAGGTAGGCCTGGACTCTAAACTTTTCTGACCTCAGACAATCACAAGCCCAGCACCTTTCTGTTCCTTCATGTGCGAGTGAAGCTGAAGAAAAATTTCACCTGCTTTCTCTCATTAACATTAATGCATGGATTTCTTCCGTCAAGATGCTTTATAATAGGCCCACAAAGAAACCTGATATATATATGTATATATGTGGGGGGAAATCCCTAATCCTGTAAGAAAAGATTTATGTGTCATTTTTCTCCTACAGTGCCAATTTTACAGTTAATTTTGACATTCCAACATAAAATATTTATAAAGGTATCAGCTGCAACATTGTCACATTTTTAAAAAATTACATTTTTTTAAAATGTTAGTTTGAACTAAAATTTGAAATATGACTTAAGTGAGCCATTGGCTTTTGGGCGGGGGATAACAAATGATAGCTGTTTGCAAAAATGAATTCCTATGAACCCCCTAGTAGCATGAAGTAATTGTATGTTTAAAATTCCCATTGAGTGTTGGAAATAAAAAATACAAAAAAACCCCACCAAAAAACCTCAAATGGCATACATGTTGAAATGTGCGCCCTATATTTAAAAAAGCTTCCAACCCAGTGATTTTTCATGATCCTCTTCTTGCATCTTGTTCCTATTACCCCTTCTTGTGAATAGCTTCAACATATGCTCCCATCATCTTATCAAAGCAGACAAGCTTAACTAATTGCGGAGTTGCCAGCTTAATGGTTCTTGATAGCTGATCAATGCCTTCAATATTAAGTGGCCACAGAGAATCTTCACTGTGGTAAAAAAACAAAACAAAAAACCACAACAACCCATTTTTACCATGAAAAGTCTGGAGGTGCAAATTAACCTTTCCATTTGCCAAATAACAATGTAATCCAACAAGAAAGAGTTTAAATTCCTCTGTGTGTATGCATATGCACGTGAGTGTCCATTCCAATTTTAACTCAGGGCAGTGCAAATGATTTTATACTGCATGATGCTAGTACCACTCTGAACAATAATAACTGTTTGTAGATTAAAAATTAAAAAAAAAATCCTAGTCAGAAATAAACTGACAAAATGCACATTCTTCTCTGTTAAAAAAGTAAATAAAATAACATTATTTAAATTGTGAATTATCTGTAAGACATACATTACAGTTACATAGATACATATCAATACAGCACATTTAATCTGCCCAAAATGATTACAAAGCCAGTATGGATGCTGTGAGATACATATACGTATATGTATACATATCTCACAATGATTACAGCATTCATAATTGCACTAGGCCTACTATTTTAAAATTACAAGATTTCATGATTAGGGAACAAAAGCAATCCAAGTTTTCATCAATTCTAATAGAAATAATTAAGGATCAATGAAATCTTATTAGTAATATGGTGTAGATTATTCATGAAGCCTTATTTTAAGAATGTTATACTGGGAATCTGGCCCTTGGGCCAGTAATACTAAAGCTTGGCAGATTGCTCCTACACTTGAGGTTTAGTCGTAATTTATCGCATTCATTGTCTCCTCTGTTGTCCCAAAGTATAATGCAGATAATTTATTTTAAACCTAGAACTGCAAAAATTACCTTTTAGAAAAATTAGTTGAATTTCGTATCTGACTTTCCTACCTTGTGTACAATATTCCAAACTGGCAATTTTTTTATTTACAGAGTTGTTTTACACAAAACTTTAAAAATCTTATTTCAATCCAAAATAAAGAGAGAGAGAGAGAGAGAGAGAGAGAGAGAGGGGCAGAGTGAGAATATCCACCAAAACAGGCATAGTGGGTCCCCCTCCAATTCTATTATTAAAACTGATATATTTACTCAGAAACCATTCTTCTGAATCCACTGGACTTGTTCTCAAACAATTATATATAGGTTTAACTTTCCATTTTGTCATTACACACAAATACAATTTCATATGTACAGTCTCTCTCTCTCTCTCTCTCTCTCTCTCTCTCTCTCTCTCTCTTTTAGCCATTTTGTTTTTTTTCCATTAAAAGTGCCTCACTTAGTAAAGAAGGAAAATAAGAACAGTGTCCAATCTTATAGCACTTTAGATACAGTATTAAAACTGTTTTTTAATTAGGCCATATGCATATGTATGTAGCACCATTTTTTTTACTCATAATGTTATGGGGGAAGCTTGGCATTGAGAAATGGAATGCTTTTTAGTACAAAGAGGAAACAAAAAAGCTAAAATCTCATTGCTTTAATATTTGGCAGTTGTCTGGAAGAGATCCACAACCAGTTAATTTGGTATCTTAAATCATCATCTTATATTTTGTAATCACTGTGTTTATAAGAAGAAAAGAGTCAAATCTGGCCAATAGTTTCTGCACATTTTTAAAAAAATCTGAAATTGGGATAAGAAATCTAGAGTGTCTGCTTAATTTAAAAACTAATCAAAATAGAGGTTTCAGGGTATAATATCTCCATGGCATATATTTGGCATCTGTGATTAAGAAGCAAAAAAGGGGGAAGGGGGAGGGATTTCCCCCCTTAAAAATTGGTTTTGGAAGAGAGTAAATGGCAAGTTCAGATCAAAAAGTCAAACTGCTCCAAAAATGCCCTTTCTCAGTAATTTGTTGCTGTGTTCTATGTAGTTTGTTGATTTTTCTGTGGTACTGCTATGGATAAAAATCTGTAACACTGCTATTAATATTCCCAATGAACAACATTCTTTCAGTGCAAAGTTGATACTGAAAGGTAGGTATACTTTACATCTGCCAAAAATTAAATAAAATCAGAACATCAATAGATCTGATCCCTCATAAAAGTAGTTTCCGATGGCTTAAATTCTAGTGACAGGTTTTCTCCCTCACCAATCTAAGAAGGACACCTGAAAATTAAGTTTGTGGGGATAGGTCTTGTACCTGAAAAAAATAAATCAAGACAGACACAGGCAGAGACAAGAGGAGGGAGAGCCCAACTTGATTTTGCTTCAGTCACAACAACAAAAAACCAACCCAAACCCCTATCATTTTGTGAGTGCACAACTGAGAATTTAGAACACATTAAGTCACAAAATTTTGACTTAAAAAAAGAGGAAATGAGCTGTGAATGTAGTTCAGCATCTTTTGTTTCTTTTCCTCTGTAAAGTTTAAATAAAATTGTAATATTTAACTACAAACTCTGCAAATATTAACAGAGTCCAGGCCAGCAATAAATTAGTATTACGCAGATCATTTTCACAGATAATACAGTCCCTCTTGAATATCTTCAATTGCCCGAAGTGGGTAGATAGAGATCTAAGAGGCACAGTTAGACCAAGTTGTACTCCTTCAGGTTTAACTGTAAGATAGTGTCCTTGACAGCAGCAAAGACGAAGCGGATATTCTCTGTGTCTGTGGCACATGTGAAATGGGAGTAGATAATTTTTTCACTCTCAGGATTCAGGTCAACAAACATCTTCAAGATAAATTCTCTTGCTGCCTGTGCATCTCGCTGAGGTCCTGTTACACCAGAAAAGAAGTAGATTGAATTTTATCTTTAGAAAAATACAGGTAGCCCTTGACTTACAACTATTGGTTTTGGGACCATTCAAAGTCATGATGGTACTTTAAAAAAGCGACTTATGTCCATTTTTCACCTTATGACATTGTAGCCCCCCCGCCCCCAGTGATGTGATCAAAATTTAACCGCTTGGCAATCAGCATGCATTTAAGACAGTTGCATTGACCCCAGGGATGGTGGTCATGTGATCACCTTTTGCAACATTCTGACAAGCAAAGTCAATGGGGAAGCCAGACTCACTTAACGGCTGCAATGATTCACTTAACAATTGTTGCAAGAATGGCTATAAAATGAGGCAAATCTCATTTTACAACTGTCTTGCTTAGCAACAGAATTTTTGGGCTCAATGTGTTCGTGAGTCAAAGACTTACTTGTAAATGGCTATTATTACACTATGGTGATATCTAAGCAAGAAATGAGGACTGAATATTGAAGGATGGGAGAGAAGTTGTGGATACATCCCAACATCTTAATCAACAATCATGGTAACTTGGAGAATTGATATTTAATCTTTTAAACAAGCCAAAGGCAAGAATTTGACAGTACATTAGGATGGGAGCTATTGTACTACTATACTTTAAACCAGGGGTATCAAACTCAAGGCCTGGGACCGGATCCAGCCTGCGGGGTGCTTAGATTTGGCTCACGGGGCTGCCCCGGAAACAGTGAAGAACTGGCCCGCAGTGCCTCTGCCAGCAAAAACCATTTTCGCTGGCAGAGAGTTGCAGGAGGCTGTCCCAGCTGAAAACTGAGCTCGGGAGCCCATTTTCGCTGGCAGAGGGCATGGACCACCACAGGTGCCCCCGACACATGTGATGTTGAGTTGGCCATGCCCACCCTGGACTCCCAAGGTCAAATACAACCCTGATGCGGCCCTCAATAAAATCAAGTTTTACATCTCTGCTTTAAACAAATAGAAAAAGTACAGGGGAAGAAATGATTGCGAAAGAAGATAGGGCCTCATTTTAGAACAAGATTAGAGTGACTATCACTGGGAGATGGAAGAGTACACCAGGCAATATAGCCATTGGGAAAGAAACATGTCAGCTTTCAAGGGTGGAGGGAAAAGTGAAGGGGAAAAAAACCCTTCTCTTTGCTTCCTTTATTAGAACATTTTTCAGCAGGTGCATTCTCTCTTTCTCTCTCCACTTCTGAATAAATAGAGGGACAAGGCATAAAGTATAATTATCAATTTAACAAACCACATCCTTTTAGTAAGACATGGAAGTCTCCCTGCATTGCATGTGAATTTGACTTATTCTGTTCTGTTCATCTCATGTGATTAGGAAGAATGACATATATGGTAAACTCCATCACTCTAATTATGCACAACCAGATACTTTAATACACAAAATATCCTCCAGTCATATGGATAGAATTTCCTCCACCTTAAATCTTATTCAGATGAACTGAAGACACAAACCATGGTATGTTTAAGGCTTGTTTTTCTGGTTAAGAAATAACAACTGACAATCTGAACATGTAGTTAAGAATGCACAATTTAATTAGAAGTTTGGGAATGGTGGCCACAATATGACAGAACAACAGAAGGCAAGCTTGTTCTCACCTATCAATTGTATAATGTTGTCTTGTTGCTGTTATACTATTCGCATACAATTTTTATGGGGACAAAAACACAAACTTACCATCATACTCCGGGAAATAGTCAACTAGATGTGAATACATTATTTTCTCCTCTAAAAGGTCTTTCTTATTTAAGAATAGAATGACTGAAGAATTCTGGAACCAGGGATACGTGATAATTGTCCTAAATAGTGCTTTGCTTTCCTCCATTCGATTCTGGAAGAGCAAAAAATAGTCAAGTAACATTAACATACCTATAATGATTGTTTCAAAGTTACAATCTGTTCATATGTTTCCCCCCCCCCCTTGATAAGATGCACAAATCATACAATTAATAGAAATAGGCATATATATATATAGATGCAAATATATGAAAGGATGAATCTGAAGTTCTCTTTAAATTCCAAGGCTCAACTCATCTAATCAATTCAAAAATAACTGGAGGTTTGCATTGTTTTTCGTATTATCCTCTAGCACAAGGTTTCCACTTTCTGTTTCTTGCTTAGCATTAATCATAGGCTGAAGTGATTTTGAAATAACTTTACTACATAATATTTTTTCCCCAAGACGAAACTTCCGGGAAGAAATGGTGAACTGAATATAGATCTGCCAAAAATTGATGACTCTAGCAAAATGAAAACCCAGTAACGCTCTTCATATGTCCTCTTCAAACAAGGAAAGGACCTGGGATCACCCACAAATGCTGCCTATCGTTGCTCCTCACAGAGAGGCTGCAAGATAACAGTCTGATGAGTTTAGAGCTCTGGGAGACGGGACTAGTCACCTTACTCAAGGTTCGAGGTTCATTTTATTTATATGCCGCCCTATTCCCAGCGGGACTCAGGGCAGCTCACAAACCCAAAGAAGGGGAAGGGAAACACAAGAACTACAACAAAAAGTACAGGGCATTTAAAACAACCAACAGCCAAACCACAGTCAGGATCTTTGAAAGGACACAGGACAAATATACTTCCTTTTAAAAATAACTTTTGGAAATGGTTGTTATTGCTCTTCTAATCACTTTCGGAAATTGTTTTTTAACTGCTCTTCAGCTATTAGAAACCTTTGGATTGACAAATTTTACAGCACGGGAAGGTTTCCTTCAAACCTCAGGAAAATAATTTTTAAATAAGATTTTAGAATTAGTTATAAGAATCCTTCCCACAAGAAAATGCTTTTGTTTTGAATTATCTTTAAAAAAACATGACAGGATGATATTTTGAAGGTGGACACTAGAGGGAACGAGAAGGAACTAATGATTACAATTAAAGGAGAGGACCACTTAAATGTGATTTACAGTACTAATGTGGAATGAGGCATAACATTGGACATATTAAAGGATATTTTTGAACAACTGACCAGAAGTTAATTTTAAGACTATCTATGCTGGGTGTGAAAGATAAGGTCCACACATGAAGGTTTAATTAAATTGATTTATTGCTACTCACGCCTAGACACAGGAATATTCTCAACTAATGGTTAACACCTGGTAGAGGTTAGATAAAGGTCAGCAGAATTCAAGGGGATTTGATTTAGTTTACTTATGGCTATGTAGATTCCAGGCTGATCCCTCTTTTAACTTTGCCTCCAATATTTGCCATTCCTTCCTCTATAGTCTACCTCTACAGATAGACTGTGTTTTAAAAATATTAAGGGATGTATAAATAAAAAACAAACAAACCAATATTGACAAATCTGAAATTATGAGGATTTAAGGATTTGTTTGTAGATAAGTGATGGGATAAGAAAAGAAGAGATCACCCCAATAAATATTAAGTGGCCCATGCAGGATGTTCTCTTCTATTTTTGACTGAAGCTTTTGCTTCTATTAGTTTGCAAACGAAGAAATATCCTATCTTTATAAATACTGTATCACTGCAGCCAGGAGTTATTGCAGTTAGACAGCTGTAGGTTTTATTATATGACTTGGCTATAATTTAATCAGTAAAACTCATTGGTAAATATGCATTCTTCAAGGATGCCAAAACATTTCAATTATATTATTTTTACACAGAAAGGCTCTAACAGCATAAATAGAAGAATCAAAATTAGTAAATGGTTTTTTAAAAGAATAAAGATGTGCGCACATGTACACATAAATATATTTTGCACCTTAGTCTGTTCCTTAGTCTTTGCTTCTAGATAGGCCTTTTAATATGTGTTGGCAGTAGTTCATTACAGTAATTTCATAATGCACCTAAACGTCTCTATCATCTATTAGTGATTAGACTCTCTGTTTTTTCTTTTGGTCGGGATTACCCATTTAATTAGTAATACCAAGAACAGAAGCACAATTCTTTGTATACAAGACTGTTCTTTAGTTCTCTGCTTTCATAAATTTTGGATAGAAGTTGCTTTGATGCTATGCCCTGTTCAGACACAGCAGCTTTTGTGAACATATGCTTTGCTGGCCTAGACACTTGCACACATACCTCCTAAAAAAGATTTTATCCAAAATTGCTGGATTTCAAACTACTCCAAATTCACATTTTTAAATACTCTGTGCCTTCTCTATATACATTGATAAGTTTTCATCTTTACAAAATAAAACTGTAGGTATGGGGCTTATGAATAATAGTTTATCTGCAAATATCAATACTTGGTTTAGAATACTTTATTTTGTTCAGTGAAATTCCCCAAATTAATATATTTAATCTTTGCCAATCAGCAAAATATGACCCCTATGTTTTTCATTCTAAGCTAAATGAAAACAGACGACTGTTTGCGCTCCTTAGAGTTATAGTTAGACAATGTAAAACTTTATTTTACGCTGAACCATGTAAGCATGGCATTCTTATGTGCTGCCATTGTGTTAAAAATATGAACACTAATTCTAAGGAGGTACGACAATTGCAGGCTAACCAGTTTTTAAAAGATAGTTTAACCTAACTGTATTTTTTTGAGACAGTTTCTATGCTCATTAGTTTGCCAGAGTTGACTTGAGGTATCCTCAATAGCACTTTCACGTAGGTAACAATTTATTTAATTGTTAACAGGAATGCTAAAATTCCATTAGGCAGATTAAGCAAAATATGTTTAAGTGTATAAGGCAGGGGTCTCCAACCCCTGGTCCATGACATGATAGAAACTGGGCCACGCAAACAAGCAAAGCGCCATCCATGGGATGCAAGCAGCATGTGAAACCATGACCCTTCTGGTTCGCAGAAAAACCTCTCTCCACAGCACCGGTCCTGGTGCCCAAAAGTTTGGGGGCTGCTGTTCTAAGGCATACACCAAGTACCCAGAACTTCTGGAACACTGTAGCAGTTCATGCATGAAGGATTTTTCCAGAGTTGAATCTATTGAATCAATATTTTACTACTACTTTAATGGCAAGGTCAGGTTTATCCTTGTGATCCTAACACTTGCAGCTTTTTTGATAATGAGTAGAAAACTCTGCTGTAGAAGCATTTTGGGATTCATTAACCAACATTTTTGATAAAATATGGCAATTAGGACTAAGCAATGCACATGTGTAATGCAGTTAATGGAAAGGTCATAGAAAATTAACTATTTATTATTATGATCACTGGAAAAGCTTTTATAGCAAGATCGGTGTTAGGAAGGCTAATGTTATATTTTAGTAAAAATCAGCCCTCAGAAAGCTAGTGAATAGATCTCTGATTGTAAATAAATAAAGCTTAAGTAAGGCCAAGAATAGTTCAAAGTAAACTGACTTGTTGTACAGATGACAATCAATAAGCTGACAACCAAATGTAGGCAGGATTGGATGCTCATTCTTGGCCTTTTTTGTGGTATGTTCGATTGCTTGATTATGTGCCAACAAATCATTGTTGACTTTTATTCTGCATATTAAAATAGCAGCTATAATTAAATATGTGTATTTTGAGATTTCAAAGTTATAACATAATTTTACCCATTTATGATAATCAACAACATTTTGATTATAACCCTAGCCCTTTATCAATTATTATAATGCATGGCAGACTACTTGAATTTTTTAAAAAAATAATTAGTGAAATAAGGTTTAAATGGGATTTTAGACATTTAAATAATTTTCAAACCTTATTTATTGGGGTTCACAAAAAAAAAGTATATCTACTGTGTAATAATCCTGTTCCCAACAATTTTCTTTTCTTCTTAAAGAAAATCACAATATGCAAACTATTTATATTTTATTTTTGATCCTCTAAAAATATTAGGAAGATTTATGGGTGTCTTGACTGAATGTTGAAATGTTTTATGGATTTCTCTGGAACATTTGCCTTCTTATAGGGAGTGAAGATTTAAGTGCATATCTTTATGTTTGGGAGCCTGTCAAAATGTCTGATGATGTCTACCATATGGCAGATACTGCCTCATTGAGTTGGTCACAAATTATTCCAATTCCTTTTTATTTGGAACACTATTCCAGGCACATTGCTGATAACTCTACCCCAAGAGCTGAAAATGCAAGCTCTAGTACTAAAAGTCAAAAAGCACAGTGAAAAAAGAAGGAACTAAAATTAAATGTAAAGGAGACTACACTAATGACAATAGGTAGAACAAACAGCTTTAGAATAGACAATGAAGATATAAAAATGGTGGCTACATTCTTCATTTTAGAATCTAATATCACTGGTAAAGGAACAAGTGGCCAAGAAATATGCTGCAGACCAGCCCTTGATAGATCAGCCATGACAGTTTTGAAAAATGTATTTGAATACCATGATGTGTCTATATCAGGGATGACAAACCTTTTTGGCACTGAGTAACTAAAAGGGGGAGGGGGAAGGGGAAGGGGAGGGAGAGAGAGAATGTACTCCTTGGGGCCGCAACCCCGAAGAGCAACTGCCCAGGGGGCATGTGTACACCGAGAAATGAACTTCCGGTTTCCAGTGTGCACATCTGCGGCATACTTCGTTCCTCTTCTGGGTTTCTGGCACGCATGCACGTGCGATGATCAGCTGGCTAGTACGCATGTGCACGCCGGAAACTAGAAGACCAACTCTTTTGCTTTCCGGCACTGCTTCTCGTGCAAAGGATAGCTGATAGGCGTATGTGCATGCGTGCCAGAAACCTGGAAGAGGAATGAGTGGTGCCATACGTGCCAGGTGACATAGCTCCACGTGCCACTTTGGGCACACATGTTGTAAGTTCACCATCACGGGTTTATATCTTCCAAGATCAGAATCATGCAAGCCATGGTATACTCTATAAACAGTCTATGGAACCAAAATATGAATTTTAAGAAGCAGGATAGGAAGATCCTTGAT